TAAAATTATTAGAATTCGATAAGTTCAATTTGATTTTACTTGAATATAAGTTCGAATTAATAATCGTGTAACCAATTATTTTACACATATATAATCAGAAATCATATCATAATTTTTTAGCGTTCCATGCACTTCAAAATTAGTAACTTGTTGTTGTCCTTCGAACCTCTGCACTTATTTTTTTTCTACTGACAGGTTGGAAAAGTTTCTGAACACTTCAACAATGGAACTTTTGTTCTTATTTCACCCAAGCTGTGCTAAATAATTTACAATACATTATCTGCATGAATGTTGTTTTGATTGGCTCTTTTTTTGTGGATAAAATGTTGGGTTGTCTGTTGCCCAAATCTCTCCATGTTGAACGCGCATTCAAATCATTAGGTTATTACAAATATTTATTAAATAAACACACTTAAAAAAAGTAAACAAAAGAGACCCAAGAAACCAATAGGTACATTTAAGTAGTAGAGATGCGATGCATTTAGTTCCGAGAGACACATCGCTGTCTGTAACTTGAAGTAAGTTCCACGAGCATGCATTTGGGGACAGAGAAATGTTAGAGAGACGTCTTAAGGACCTAAAGATGAAATGATAACTGGTATGAAGGAGAGTGGTTGAACAGAAGCCTTATTTGTACGTCGAATACCATTTGTTTCTACAAGAAAACTTGAAACACGCAGAATTCATGGTCAATTAGAGCAATTTTTGAGGCGATAAATGGAATAATATTGATCTAGATGATCATTACTGGGAAATGCTCAAATGCCATTAATATCAATGCGATCATCCTAAGCGAAACTAACTTTTTGGAAATTAATTTCAGTAAGTTTGCATTGGGACATGAATACTTTTGTTATTTTGAGGAAATCGAGAGTCATCGTTACATTTGAAACTGAAAAAATATTTCCAAACATTTTTAAATAGTTTGCCAATGTTTATTACATTGCTTTGAATCAACCCGATATTTGTTTGAAGGCAATCGATAGCTCTAGGGATATTTATCCCACACTCCTGGATGAAAAAATAATTCCGGCTCCGAAATATGTATAGCAGTATTGGAGAAAACTTTAATTTGAAAGATTTTTAGCCTTGTTAAATATGGCCTGAAGGAAATGTTGTAACACTAGCATCTTTTCCGGTCAAACTCAAACTTTCAACTGCTGCCTCACTGACGGCGTTTTTCGGATAAACTTCGAATCAGCTTACATTATGCCTCCATTGAAAATACAGGCCGTGACACTTCTGATCCCAGATCATATCGACCCATCTCCAGCCTGTCGATTTTATCTAAACTCCAGGCACGAGTTGTGGCCCGACAACTGAACAAACTTCATCTTCAGCAGTCCGGTCTCATGCCTCGCCTCCAGTCTGCATACCGTCATCTACACTCGACGGAAACCGCTGTGCTGAAGGTGCCTTCAGACATTCTGCGAGCAGTAGACCACGGCGACATTGCGGCACTGGCTATATTCGACCTGTTGGCCGCGTTTGACAGGGTCAACCACGCCACTTTATTGCGTCGAATTGACGTATCATTAAGCCAGGGCGGCACTGTGCTGCGGTGCTTCGAATTCTATCTCTGCAATAGATTACAATGCATTCGACATGGGAACACTTTTCCTCTACGCCATCGTTGGTCACATGCGGCGTACCCCAGGGATCATTTCTTGGACTGATCCTCATTCTGTTATATACTGTCAACGCATAGCACACAATTGATTCACATAGTTTGACCCCATGCTTCTTCGCTGACGACACCCCAATTTATGGCTACTGTGGACCGGCTGACGCTGCAGCGCTGCAAGACCGGATGTCTGTCCGCATGGACGTCGTCTCAGACTGGATACGCTCCAACCGGCTCAAGCTCAATGCATCAAAAACTGACTTTATTTGGTTTGCGACTGCTCGGCGCCAGCATTAGCTTCAGGCCAACCCTGTTCTCGTGGGAAACGAGTTCGTCGTGCCTGCATTTCCGGTTCTCTACCTCGGCATTCTACTGGACTCGGAGTGTATCATGAACAATCACAGCCAAAGTCACCACCGCTTGTTTTGACGCTCTGCGACGAATACGTAGCGTAAGTCGCTGTCTCTCTAGGTCGGTCCTCGAGGCCCTCAAGATGGATGCCACACTCGACCGGATTGGACTATGTTAATGACACACGCAACTGACTTCCGATCGCGACACTTGATTAGCTGATATTTATAGTAAACGCTGCTGCGCAACTCGTGTGAAATAAACGAAAATTCAACCACGTGACGCCGATATTGCGCGATCTTTGCCGGCTGCGCATGCAGCAGCGCACGCAGTTCAAGGTCACTGTTCTGACGTTCCGACCCAGCAGGCATCTAACGTTGAAACAACATTGATTATTAGTTGATTTCAAGCTGAAATGTTGAACAACCAAAATTAAACGTCATATCAACGTCGAAATCTAACCAACACTAGAAGGGACGTAAAACAACCTTACTTCAACCTTGAAATAACGACGATATTGGTACGTTGAAATTTTACTAATTTTAAATGCTGAACAGCCAAAATTAACGTCCCATCAACGTCGAAATTTGACCAAAACAAGAACGGATGTGAAACAACCTTATTTCAACGTTGAAATAACGTCGATATTGGAACGTTGAAAGTTTATTTATTTTTTAACGTTCATTCAACGTTGATTTCAGGTTGAAATGGTGAACAACCAAAATTAAACGTCCGATCAACGGCAAAATCTGGCCGAAACTAGAAAGGACGTAAAACAACCATATTTCAACGTTGAAAATTGGTCGATATCGGTAAATTGAATGATTAGCTATTTACCAGCATGGAACTAATGTCATCACACCAACATTGAACGATATACATATATATATATATAAATTCATGATTAATGACCAGAGAAGGCATTTCAATTTTCAAGGAGCTGCACAATTCTTTCGCTTATTTTATTGTTCATGCACGCGAGCTACCGTGGTCAAGGTTGCTAATGCGTCGCGCGGTCTCCAGCGATTCCCGGGTTCGAATCCTGCTACGGACGAAAAAGAGGTTGGTTCTTCAACGTTGATTCATTCAGAGAATTTGACGGTGCAGCCACTTCGTAGTAGCTACATTGATTCAACGTTGCATTGTAACGGCAGTAAGACGTTTCATGAAAGACGGTGCTTCAATTTTCATTCTAAACTTCTTTTCACCGCGATCTCAACGTCGTAATATGTAGTTGTTTCAACGTCAATTCGACCAGAGAATTCAACGTTGCAGCAACGTCGTAGTAGCAACATTGATTCAACGTTGCATTGTAACGTCAGTATGACGTTGCATGAAAGATGTTGCTTCAATTTTCATTCTAAACCTCTCTTCACCCCGATCTCAATGTCGTAATAGGTAGCTGTTTCAACGTCGATTCAGCCACCGAATGCCTGCTGGGGATGCCTTCACGGTCTGGCGCCTCTTTATGACACGGAAGGTCTGCAGCGCGTGTCGGATCTGCCTGGACGATTGCGTTCGTCATCAACGGTACTAAATCTCGTGGTTCCATCTTCACGTCTATCTACCGTTGGTGGAGAGCGTTCCCGGTCGTCGGCGCCAGAACCTGAAACAGTCTGCCGGCTTACGTAAGGTCGGCTACTTCATTGCCGGTGTTTCGTCGACGCCTAAAGACAGAACTATTTCGTAGAGTCAATGAATCATGTGCTTGGTCGTTTTTATCCGTTTTAATCCTTTCTCGTGTCTATTCATTTTTTGCTTGTTATTAAACTTTTGTGAAGCGTGACCTTGAAGTTCGTTTGAACCAGACACCACGATAACTGCTTCATAGAATAATAATAATAATGGGCTACGTAGTGCCACCGCAGCATTCGCCGGGTATTTACTTCTCTAGTGGAATGACGGCTGCTTAAATGATTTATTTAATCGCCAGAAATTCTTCTAATTTATCTTAATCATTTCGTACAATACAGAAATAGCATGTATAATGTAACGCATGAACGACACTTACATAGAAAGATTTCATTTTTGAGTCATATTTTCAGGTAGTATCTTGCTCGTTGCGTGGGAGAATTGCTCAACCGATCCGTGGTAGTTGGTGCACTTCAAAACAAGCAAGATCTCTCTGCCGGATCGGATCAAAATTGAAATTCGAAAAGTTAAATATATATAATTCATTTCATTGTTGCGGGAGAGGGGCAACACATATGGGCTACCCCAACGGGATAGTTAGAAAGAATGAACAAACTATATAAATCAAAGCATGAACTATATATTTAATGAACAAAGTATTAAAATGAACAAGCGAATCCATGAGAAGTACATTCAGTAATAATCTTAGGTAGCTATCAGGCGGTAAACGGATGGTTAAACATTAAAGCACATGAAGAACATTAAATTTGGCTGGGCCCATCCGTAAGGTCATCGGTGTTGTCGCCGAGAAGAAGTCAGTTCAGCGAAGATAGACAAGTCAAATCAAATCAAAGTGTGGGAAACTAGCGGAGGAGCGCATTGCTTGCCGAGATTACAACGGGGCTCTTGTCCAACGTTGCCAACAAGTTGCAGCTTCCTTCTACGCTGTTCAACCGGTAGGAGAGAAATATTCAAATCATCGACCAAGTCCTGGCGACGTACAGTGCCGGAAGCGTTACCGTCTCGAGACTGGCACTTTAGCTCCGATTGCCTGCAGCCGCACCCGTCCATGGCAGACGAATGAAGTAGACAAAATACAAGAACTTGGTTCTGAATGAATGGTTGACGGCAGCATCGGACTGGATCTGAGTAACTTCCTTGCCGACCAATTACTGCGTCCTGCCACGCCCGTCCTGGCAGGGCGGCTCAATCGAGAGTGAGCCAACTCCGGCTCAGGTCCAATTTCAGCTCCGAGCAATGCGTCGGAAAGAAAGAAGAAGAGCGCGAACGACAGAAAGTCGGACCGCTACACCATGGTTGAATTTATTAATTCAACCATGATTCATTCACTGTACCGTGTTCCTTAGAAAATAAATTTAGCGAGTCTAAAGTTAATGATAAATAAAATTTACATTCAGCCGGGCATAAAGTTTATTTAATACTGTACTCTCAATGATCACTACATCTTTTTTCTTTAGACCGCTAATGGTTCTCAACTTTATTAATGATGGCGGTTGATCAACGATGCTAGTCTTTCTTAATATGATTTTTATCCATTGGCGTGCTGCGTAATGAACTTTGAGTCCATAATGTTTCGATAATGACATGCGGCATCATTACTTTTAGTTGACACGTGTGTCAGCGAACTGTCTTGGCCTCTGTACAGGATTGTTTTGCTACCAAATAGTTTAATGGTTTTGCAGATAATATATTTTGTTGCGTTTATTTTAGCAGCCATGAGTCACGTGTCGCAGCTGAAGCTTTAAGGTCAAAGTAATCAATAAAAGCTCAATGACTACATGTCAGAACAACTGCTCATACAGAAGATATTTGGCTTCGGCTTCGAACCTCTTCTTGAGAGTAGGGGATTCATTGCTATGCGACACATCAGCATCTCGCATTCCCATTCGGGTTATACATATTGACGTTCAAAGAAGAAAAGCCCTGGTGAATCATGGTGAATAGATGCACATGCATTTCAAATTTACTCAATAATTGCGTTACATTCTCAAAGTACTGACGAAAAGAAGCAACGTTCCCTCTTTCAAATCAGCATCTGTTTACAATCATAAAATAGAGTGAAGTTTGCAGGAGACGTGCAAAAATATAGCTCTTTCCGACGTACAGTTTTTTTAAGAAGGTCTAAGAACAACAATTTCTCTCGCAACTTTAGGTAATCACGCAACAAAGTACAGATAAGAAATAAAATGACGCAAGCTTATCATTAAACACGACCATCTATAAATAACTTTCTTTGTCTTTTCCACCCACTCTGAAGGCCTCAATTACGTGCAACTTACTTGTTCTGCAGACAACTCGGGGCGCGGGGGTTACAATTTCTTCCTCGGTGATCTCAAATCCGAAGAGACGCGACTCTACTTGAAGGAAATATTCTGAAGATAAGGGGACTGTGCTATCAGTCAGCACTACGTGTATTTACCAGGAGATAAGCAAAAAAAAGCGTAGCGGGGTTCCAAAACGAAAGCTATTTGGCCGATCCGCAGCCCGCTACTCTATTCGAACTCCCATTTTGATACGCACGCAGTTTTGGTACTCATTATACACCCCGGAATACACCCCCGAGTTTTGTAAGATAGGATGAATATTGTTATTTGGAAAGGAATATGGACACAGCCTATGGTTTGTAATGATTGTGACTAGCATGCAACCCAGAACGTCACACGCTAGAATGTTCATTGTAATGTGGAATCAAGTCATGAGGCAGCTCAGGATTTATAAAGATAACGCTGACACCGTACGACTTAGAATGATGATGTCGAGGTGCAAGTTCAGCTAAACAAACTCAAATGTGATCATTTGCGATCCGAAGTCATCAGTCACATTATTAGCTTTGACGTCTTTGCAAATGCTTTGGAGCGTCTGTTTACGAGCTTTGCCACTTCACCTGAACCAAAGCTGAGCACCAAGGATTTGATCTTCTTATCAGATATTATACATACACGTGTAACGAAACACAATTTGTTCCAATAGAAATTGAGGTTATTCTGGCAAATAACTTTCCATGAAAAAAAAATAGAAAAGTCAAACATAATTCTATCATATTCGCTTATATTTCCCCTTTATTTATATATTTTTAATTTTATCAACCAGAGAGTTTAAATTTTCCTAACAAACATTTTAATCTAAATTTCAATAATCAATTGTGGAGCGAGATGCCATATTGGCTGTGGTGACGGCTATCACTGACAGACATCTGTAAGCACGCGATTAGCAAATAAAAGCAACTGTTTCAATAATACCATGAAGCTATAAAAGCAGACCATGTATCGTACCAAGTCACAGTGGTCACACCTGGACTACTTGTTTGTATTCGTTTCTCTTCCCCAGTAGAGAAGTGAATAATAGTTCGCTGCTAGTCCGGCCTACGTGTGCTGAGGCCATAAACGCCGCATTGGGGTACGAATTCAGGATTCCTATCATCAACGCCTGCAAGGCGGATCCAAAGGCAAATGCCTCCTTGACTGCCCTCGCAGGTTAGATATTGCAAGATTTATTGCCATCAATTGTTTAATCTGAAATTGTCTACAATTGTGCCCAAAATATATATGGGCAATTCACCCAGTTGATTTTTTTGTTTCCAAAACTCAGTTTTAAACTTTTTATTTTAAATTATTGGTGTTATCGAGAGGTATATAGTGAAATAGTAAGTGGAACCATCGTAAATTCATGAGAGATCTAAAACAATAATTAGCAATTTACGTGTTCTGCAGGTAATCCTGCCTGCAAAGACTACAAGTTCAGTACCCGCCATCGCAAGTGCGAAGTTCTCGCAGCTCCCTTCATGAAATGTGTAGCGCGAGAACTTGGTTTCGTAAGTCGGGAAATATCGCTATTGTGCCTTTTCATCATCTGTCATGAACTTTTCTCTGAATATTAACTTACTCTATTTGTGGTGTTGAACAGTTCAAAATGTGACCAACGCTATATTTACTGCACCATGAGAGATATCTATTTCAAACAATTTCATTTGTTATTAAATTAAATTATGAAGTTTCAACCCTAGTAAATGTGAATACAGCACTCATTCATTTAATTCTAGTTGAAGGCTGATGGCTCCATCGACAACACTTTGGTCATCTCCCAGTACAAGGCTTTGATCTTCGGCAACCCTGCCTGCAACGCTGCTCAGTACGACTACGCTGTGAAAAAATGCGGAAAGAAAATCAAGAACTACGCGGTAAGTTTTTCTTGTCTTGGCGGGACACGCACAAATTTATTTCATAGCAGGACTATGAGTTGAGATCATGTCAAACTGAATTTATATCAGATGTTAACTTGGAAGCAGAGTGATAATTTTGTTAACGAGTATGTGGAAACATGCAAATCATTTTTAGTTCTTGTGGCAATACGTGTTGAAGTTTCAGACTATCCAGCAAGTTGCTTTGATCTGCTAATCCCCTTTACTAATCCAATGTGACATGATTACCTGCTAATGTGTGTCGCATATCATTCTACCTCACTCAAATTACTTCGAATAATGTTGCCTAAAGTTATAGCTGAAATTCTAAGCATTCTTTCACTTCTATCCACTGTAACTGAAGCATCACTTCATGCCATGAACGTTTTTATTGACATAATAAACTTCCACAAACAGTTCCTAAAGAAGGCCGCATGCATGGCCAACGCGACGGAAAAGAACACTGATGACCTGCACCAGCTGGTCCTCATGCCTTCATCTGACAAACAGCTTTGAAGTGTTCACAACAGGTGCACAATAATAATTAGGGGAAATCTATATAATAATAATAATATAATTATTAGGGGAAATCTATATAATATATAATAATAACTGGAAATAATAATCTCCAGTCAATGCGTCCATATGCAGTAAAATTTGCCTTATCATAAATTCATTACAATTTTTGATACAATAACTTCAAAAAATTCCTACTTACAATCATATCAACAATTATTATTATATTCATAAGTGAAATTGAAACACTTCTGAAGGAGTGAAGCATTTCTCTTTCTCTCTCATTTTTTTATATACAGATTTGATTGAAGACCAGATCATACTTCCTATTAACAATTTCGTTCGGCTTATTGAAAAAATAAACAATAAGAAAATTGTTAATAAAAGTATGTTCTGGTATTCAATCAAATATATACATGTATATATACATTTGATACATTATATACATACATACATTATATATATTTGAAAATATAATATAATATATTTCGTGTCAAGAAATTTCCATTTGATGCACTTTAAATTATCAGAATTCGACAAGTTCAATGTAATTTGGCTTGAATATCCGTTCAAATAAGTTGGCGTGTAGCCAATCATTATGAACTTAAAGATAATCAGCAATCATAATGTTTTTAGCGTTCCTTGCACTTCAAAATTAGTGACTTGTTGTTGTCCATCGAACCTTTGCACTTGTTTTTTTTTTTCTCCTGACAGGTTGGAAAAGTTTCTGAACACTTCAATAATGGAACTTTTTTATTATTTCACCCAAGCTGTGCGACATTATTTGCAATACATTATCTGCCTAAATGATGTTTTGATTGACCCTAATGAAATGTTGGGTTGTTTGTTGCCCAAATCTCTCCATGTTGAACGCGCATTCAAATCATGAGATAATTACAAATATTTATTAACTAAATACACATAAGAAAAGTAAACACAAGAGACCCAAGATACCAATAGGTACATTTAAGTGGCAAAGATGCCATGCATTTAGTTTCGACAGACACGGCGCTGTCTGTAACTTGAAGTTAGTTAATGCATGTCGGAACAAGCATTTGGGGACAGAGAAATGTTGGAGAGACGTCTTATGGGCCTAAGGATGAAATGATAGCTGGAATGAAGGAGAGTTGTTGAACAGAAGCCTTATTTGTACGTCTTATACCATTTATTTCTACAAGAAAACATGAAACACATAGAATTCATTGTCAATTAGAGCAATTTTTGAATCGATAAATGGAACAATGTTGATGAAGATGAAAATGCCTTAAATGCTCAAATGATAGTAACATCAATGCGATTATCCTAAACGAAACTAACTTGTTAAAAATTAATTTCAACAAGTTTGCATTGAGACATGAATAATTCTGTGATATGATAAAACTCGAGAGTCATCTTTACATTTCTGACTGAAAAAATGTTTCCCAGCATTCTTAACGGGTTTTCCAATATTTATTGCATTGCTTTGAATCAACACGATTTATGTTTAAGGCAATTGATAGCTCTAGGGATATTTATCCCACACTCCTGGATAGCACAATAGCAGTATTTGAGCAAACGACAATTTGGAAGATTTTAGCCTTGTTAAAAAAGGGCTAAGGGAAATGTCGTAACCCTAGGATCTTTTCCGGTCAAACTCATAGTCGCTGCCTCACTGACGGCGTTGTTCGGATAAACTTCGAATCAGCCCAAATTATGCCTCCATTGAAAAAACAGGCAATGACACTTCTGATCCCAGATCATATCGACCCATCTCCAGCCTGTCGATTTTGTCGAAACTCCTGGCACGAGTTGTGGCCCGACAGCTGAATAACCATCTTCAGCAGCCCGGTCTCATGCCTCGCCTCCAGTCTGCATACCCTCATCTCCACTCGACGGAAACCGCTGTGCTGAAGATGCTTTGAGACATTCTGCGAGCAGAAGACCGCGGCGACATGGCGGCACTAGCTTCACTCGACCTGTCGGCAGCGTTTCACACGGTCAACCACGCCACTTTATTGCGTCGACTTGACGTATCATTCAGTCAGGGCAGCACTGAGCTGTGTAGTGGTTCGAAACACTTTTCCTCTACGCCATCTAAGTTTGTTTTTCATCGCATGCGTAACCATGAATTTTTCGAGTTCTCCTACCATTAGTCGGCTTAAATCGCAAGTCAATCAAGATTTTAATGCAAATAAAACGCCTAGGGAATTCACCATATATTCATTGATAGTGTTTCGGAGAACAACCCCATCATCAGTTTAAGAGATAGAGAATACAAGTTTTCGTTGTTGCGTTTACAGTTTTTCATTTCAATGAAGATATGGTAAATTAACGTGATGTTTTCTTTGCTTATAAATTCTTAATAATAATTTACTGCATGAAAAACTGCATAACTTCATGTGGTTTAATTTAAATCATAAAATATTTGAGGTCAGTCAAAGTCATATCTAATGTAATGGCTGAATGTAGCTGTACAATAGGAACTAAGTCCTGAAAAATGACAATTGTGTATAATAATGCTTATTAACGCATTTTATTATAGCGTTATGTGGTTCCAGTTTTTACGATGAGAGATGAAAAAAATGGAAATTGAAATATCAAACAATATTAAACAAAAATGTATAATGCATTCACTGTACCGTGTTTCCTAAAAATTAGATTCAACCGAGTCTAGAGGTAATAATAAATAAAAATTACATTCAGCTATGAATAAAGTTAATAACAAATGAAAATATAATTAATCCAAGTCAAAAGTTAATAATAAATAAAAAATTGCATTCCGCCGAAACTAAAATTAATAATCAATAAAAATTATATTCAGCCAAATGTAAAGTTAATAAATAAAAGTTAAATTCAGCTTAGCCTTAAGTTAATAATATATTGAAAAATTACATTCAGCCTAGTCAAAAATTAATAATGGATAAAAATTACATTCAACCGAGTCTAAAGTTAATAATAAATAAAAATTACATTCAACCGAGTCTAAAGTTAACTCAATACTGTAATCTCTGTGATCGCTACACCTTTTCTTTGGACCGCTAATGGTTTTAAACTTTATTAATGATGGCGGTTGATTAACGATGCTAGTCTTTCTTAATATGATTTTTATCTATTGATGTGCTGCTTAACGAACCTTGAGTCCATAATGTTTCGATAATGACATGCGGCATCATTACTTTTAGTTGACACGTGTGTCAAAGAACTATCCTGGCCCCTGTACACGATTGTTTTGCTACCAAATAATTTAATGGTTTTGCAGATAATATATTTTGTTGTGTTTATTTTAGCAGCCATGAGTCACGTGTCGCAGCTGAAGCTTTAAGGTCAAAGTAATCAATAAAAGCTCAATGACTACATATCAGAACAACTGCTCATACAGAAGATATTTGGCTTCGGTTTCGTACCTCTTCTCAAGAGCAGGGAATTCATTGCTATGCAGCACATCAGCACCTCGTATTCCCATTCAGATTATACATGTCGTGCCAAAATCTGTAGAATCAGCATTCCTATACTATATAAATCTTGGGTTAAGTCAGTCAGACAAGTTCATTTTATAAATATTTAAATATAAAGAAACTTGACCTAACCTTTTCTAACCCTGACTGTCGATTTATGTTCTAACTGTCATGGCGCACACGCTGCCGCTGCTCACACGTGACTACCACTACACAAAAGCCGTTTGTGATCGTGCAATTTTGATAGTAAGAGTCGTAAGATAAAAACAAGGCACTGTGATTTACGACCGTAAACTCAGAAGCTTTACACATAGGACACTATATAAAACTTCACAACATAGGACACTGTATATAAAACTTCTCTATTCGACTTTCACTAATTGACTAAATCCTATCGAAATATTCTACCTAACGACAGACACGTCCTTCTCCAAAGAACCATTTGTTCAGTTCCTAGGTCAGACTAACAATTGAGAAAAATAAAGAACATTAAAGATGAACTCAGAAAAATTCAGAATAATAAAGATAAAAGGGGATTCAAATAAACAAATAAGTACAATAAGGCATTAAGATCACAATAACTCTTAAGACCGATTTTCTGAATCAGCAACGACATGCTGATTTTACAGATTCGGCAAGATAGCAGCCGATTCCATAGAATCGTTAATTCCGCGATTTCAGCCCGACGTACATAATGACGTCCAAAGAAAGGCAACTTTATGAATCACGGTGATTAGATGCACATGTATTCTATTAACCGTTAAAACTATTTCAGTTGGCAAATTTACACAATAAATGCGTTTTATTCACAAAGAAACATTCAGAACAAATTTATTCAAATCACTGACGCAAAGAAGCAACGTTTCTACTTTCAAATCGGCAGCGGTTTACAATTGGTAAATGTGAAGTTTGCAGAGGACGTGCAAAAAAAATATAGCTCTTTCCAACATGCAAGTTTTTTTCTTAAAGAAGGTCAATTATTAACAATTTTTTCGCAATTGCGTAATCACACTGTGGAACATAGATAAGAAAGTAAATGAATCCAGCTTATCATTAAATATGACGTGTATAAATAAATTTCTTTGTCTTTTCCACTAATTCAGAAGGCCAAATCATGAGCAATTCACTTGTTCTGCTGAAACCTCGGAGCGCGAGGATTACATTTTCTTCCTTGGTGACCTCAAATCCAAAGAGACGCGACGCCACTTGAAGTAAATGTACTAAAGATAAGGAGACTGTGCTTATTAGTCAGCAGTGCTTGTATTTACCAAGAGACACGCAGACATAGCATAGCAAGGGTCCAAAACGATAGCTTTTAGTTTGAGCCGCAGCCCGCTACGCTATTCGAACGCCCGTTTTGATTCGCACGCAGTTGTGGTGCTCATTAATACACCCCCGAGTTTTGTAAGATGGAATGTATATTGTAATGTAGAAAAGAAAATGGAGACAGCCTATGGATTGTAATGACTGTGACTAGCATGCACCCCGGCATGAACGTCGCACGCCTAAATGTAAATTGTAATGTGGGAAGGAATATCGAGACAGCTTGTGAATTGTAACTTTTGTAACTGGCATGCAACCCAGAACGTCACACGCTAGAATGTTTATTGTAATGCGGAATCAAGTCATATAATAGAATAGAAGTGTCGGCACTGAAGAAATAGGCCCATGGCCTGTTGCCGATTCTTGTTCATAGAATATAATAGAAGTGTCGGCACTGAAGAAATAGGCCCATGGCCTGTTGCCGATTCTTGAATTTTTCGCGACTTGATTCACAAGGGATCCGGCCTTTGGAACCCGATCTTTCCATAACTGACGAATGATTGAGATAGCTGCTGGACTTATTGCCTGGTCCGTAATTTGCTAGGCATTTTAAGACTGAACATATGCTCCTGCATAGCTTCGTCTAGTCTGTTCTTGAAGGCGTTCAGACTCGGAATGTCAACGATGCTATCAGGGAGGCTGTTCCACATGTCAGTGACTCGAAGCGAGAAGAAATGTTGTCGCATGGATGTGTTACAGAGCAATTTTTTAATTTATAGCCGTGGCCCCTGGTGTTGGTTCTTGTTTCAAATTCTAGTAATCCTTCTGGGACCTTGTATAAGCCATGAGTATATTTGTATGCTTCAATGAGTTCCCCACGCAGACGTCGATAACTGAGGATTGGAAGCTTCATAATCTTTAATCTTTCCTCATAGGAATTAATCTTTCCATTTCAAGCCCGGAATTATCCTTGTTGCACGTCTTTGGACACTATTAAATTTTTGTCCTTTTCGAGTTTCGGTGACCACACGACGTTTCCAAACTCTGGGTTCGGACGCACGACAGCAACAAGCAACTGCTTCATCGCTTCTGCATCTAGGAACGCGAAAGAGCGTCTGATCAGTCCAAGTCGTTTATTGGCTTTAATAACTTGACCTTCAATATGCATAGAAAATTTCAACTCGTTGTCGATATTAATTCCTAAATCTTTTTTCATTGTCGACTTCGACATCTTCACTCTGTCGTTGCAACCGTGTCTTCTCATACTGTAATCTTGCTGTTCATTATTCTTGCCAAGGTGGATAACTTTACATTTGTCAGCGTTAAAACGCAGCTGCCACTTATCAGCCCAGTCAACCAGTCTGTCAATATCACCTTATAACTGTAATTTTTGCGACACATTCTTCACTGTATTATAAATTTTTGTGTCGTCAGCATACATCGAGCACACGCTAGACACAGCTTCTGGCAGATCGTTTATAAACGCAACGAATAAAACAGGCCCGAGAACGCTTCCTTGTGGCACGTCGCTGCGCACTGAAGCCCAGTCTGATACGGACCCATTAATACTGACACGTTGTCGTCTCCCTACAAGAAAATCTCTGATCCATTTGAGTGCATTGCTGTCAATTCCCAAAGACTGCAATTTCCGCAACAGCCGCTCATGTGGGACACTGTCAAATGCCTTGGCAAAATCGAGGTACACTGCATCTACTGGCTCCCTTTCGTCCAGCAGGCGGGTCCATTCGNACTCGCAAACGCAAGTGCGAAGTTCTCGCAGCTCCCTTCATGAAATGTGTAGCGGGAAAGTTTGGTTGGGTAAGTCATGAAATATCGCTAAGATGCCTTTTCATCATCTGTCATGAACTTCACTTTGAATATAGCTTACTTTGTGGTGTTGAACAGCTCAAAATGTGACCAACGCAATATTTACTGCACCATGAGACATCTATTTCAAACAATATCATTAGTTATTAAATTATATTATGAAGTTTGAACTCTAGTAAATGTGAATCCAGCACTCATTAATTTATTTCTAGTTGAAGGCTGATGGCTCCATCGACAACGAGAAGCTCTTAGCCGAGTACAAGAATTGGGCCGCGGGCCCTGCCTGCGACGTCGCTCAGTACGACTTCGGAGTGAAAAAATGCGGAAAGAAAATCAAGAACTACGCGGTAAGTTTTTCTTGCCTTGGCGGGACACGCACAAAGTTATTTCATAGCAGGGCAATAAGTTAAGATTATTTAGAACTGAATTTATGTCAAATGTTAACTTGGAAGGCGAGTGATAATTTGATCTACTAGTTTATTGAAACTATGCAAATCATTCATAATTCCTGTGAAATTACATGTCGGAATTTCAGACTATCCAGCAAGTTTCTTTGATCTGGTAATCCCTTTTTCTGATGCCAATATGCCATATGATTACCTGCCAATCGGCGTCGCGTATCATTCTACCTCTATCTAATTTATTTGAATAATGTTGCGTTAAGTTATCACTACTGTTCTAAGCAATCTTCCACTTCTGTCCACTACAACTGAAGCAGAACTTCATTTCATTAACGTTTTACTGATATATTGAACTACTACCAACAGTTCCTAAAGAAGGCCGCATGCATCGCCAACGCGACGGAGAAGTACACCGGGTGACGTGCACAAGCTGGTCCTCATGCCTTCATCTGACTGGCGGCTTTGAAGTGTTCACAACAGGTGCACAATAATAATTAGGAGACTACTTTCTCCAGTCAATGCGTCCACTTGCAGTAAATATTGTCTAATTGGAAGTTCACTGTAATTTATGAAGCAATATAATTTTATATATAATATACAATGTGTCAAGAAATTGCTATTTGATGCACTTGAAATTATTAGAATTCGACAAGATCAATGCAATGTGGCTAGAATATAAGTTCAAATAAATGAGCGTATAACCAGTTATTATAAACTTAAGGGGATCGGCTATCCCTACGGAAAACTTCTACAGTTATTATCCGATTGTCATGAAACTTCACATACATACGTAAAATGTAAAAAGAAAAACATTTTGCACATATGAATTTTTCGAAAAAAATTTATAGAAAACGTGAAATTCACAGAAAACGGCTAAAAAGGGGTACTTTAGAAAATCTATCTCCTCCCACAAATATCATCCTACAACATCGAGACACGTATCAATCGATTCGTAAAGACCATATCTATTGACTCTAACATCACTTTTTTCATTTTCCATCTAGTTTTTTTTATTGTGTTTTTTTCCATTTTTCCCATTTTTTTCTCATTTTTCACCCCTATCCCCCCTTCTCCCCCATATAAAAAACGAACCAGACCGAAATTCAAAAAAGTGATAAGTGATATTAGAGTCGATGGGCCTAGTCTTTACGAATCGAATGGTATATGTCTCATTGCTGTAGCTTGAAAACTGTAGGAGGAGATAGATTTGCCGTGAAAGCAGTATGAGGTTTTCAGTACGGCCAAAAGACTGCCCGCGCGGCACTTAAATAGACATAAAAGAGTCGCAACGCAGCCAAGATACCGTAACTTAGCCTTAAACCATTCAAGAAGGTATGGAGCAACTGGCTGCACACCTTTCACGTCGCTGTCATGATGGGCACTGAGAGGTTTGGC